GGCTGAAAGCAGGTATCTGGGGTTTGTTTAGCTTCCATAATTGCAACATTGTTGCTTAGAGTGCAGCTCAGAGCCCAGCAGCGGCAGGTGGGGAACCTTGGCTTCCTCCATCACTGGAGCAAGCAAGCCTCCTGTTTGCTTCAGCTTCCTGGCTGCCGGCCGCCATCTTGGTTGGCAGTTAATCTGCATATCCTGCTGATTAGCCAATGGGAAGCGTATTGGAGGTACGGTTAATTACCATGTTTGTCTATTATTAGATAGGATTTTTGTTCCTAAGTGCCTAGCCTATCTGAGTTTAATAAATAGCACATATCTACATATCTATCTATCTATCACAGAAATATCAACCTGAAGGAAAGAAATCTTGAAGTTAAATCTTGAGCTTAAGAATGCCCCAGAGGATGTGGAGAAAAGGGAACACTAGTTCACTGCTAATGGGAATGCACTATGGATAACAGTATGAAGTTTTCTCAAAAAATTAAAAATGGAACTGTCATTTGACCCAGTGATCCCACCTCTGGGAATATATCCTAAAAACTCCGAAACACCAATCAGAAAGAATATGTGCACCCCTGTGTTCATAGAAGCATTATTTATAATAGCTAAGATGTGGAAATAGACCAAGTGCCCATCAATAGATGAATGGGTAAAAAAGCTGTGGTACATTTACACAATGGAATACTATACAGCTGTAAAAAAGAGGGACCCTTTACCCTTTGAGACAGCATGGATGGACCTGGAGACTATTATGCTAAGTGAAATAAGCCAATCAGAGAAAGACAAATATCACATGATATCATTTACTTGTGGAATCTAATGAACAAAAGGAATTGACCAACAAAATAAGACCAAAAGCATGGAGGCATGAGCAGACTGACTTACCTCGATGTGGGGTTGCAGGGAGGAGGAGCGATAAACCAAAACACTTATATGCATAGTCCATGGACACAGACAATAGGGTGGTGAAGACTTGTGGGGAGGGAGGGAGGGGAGAAAGTAGGCGTTAGGCAGAGGTAGGTAAAGGGGAAAAAAATGGGAGACATCTGTAATACTGTCAACAAAAAAATAAGAAAATAATTTAAAAAAGAGTGCCCCAGTGAATGCCAAAATCCAGAATTCAAAAAATGTTATTAACTATCATATATTTTAACCTCTCCCTTTAAATAGTTGGATTTATTTTTTGATATTTGGATTTTAACGTGTCAAAAATATAGCAATATAAACAACATATGAGATTATAAAATCCTGAAGAATAACTCTGAAAACATATTGAACAGGAAAAATATAAATAAACTTTTTAATGAGGAAGAAGCCCTGAAATGAAAATTTTAAAAATACCAAGAAGAGAGGCAATAGAATTGACTATTAACTGTAATATGTATGATAATTTATGATATAGTTGATGGCTATTGTGGCTTAAATTTAGCTCCCTGATGGCACATTAAGTTTCAGAAGTTTATTTGTATTTTTCATATGTGCTCTTAGGTAAAAAGTCATATAGGACACTTAGATATTTTCTTAAAATGTTCTGACATTTGAATAATATAGGTATACCCCAATGTAATCTATACTTTCCTTACATTTATTTAACAAATATTTAACAAGTGCCTACTTTATGTACTATGTTACCCATTCTTTCTCTCTACTCTTAACTCTCCTACTTTATGGACACCTGAACACTATTGACACTTAAGATGGTGAGGACTTTTATTACTGGATATGGACCCTGTGAATGTTATCAGTATGTTTTTAGGAACTGAAAAAGGTTTACTGACCCATACCTAGACTATCATTTTTCTCCTGGTTTGATGACTTCTTTACAAGGTTTTATCGCTAGTTAAACCTCTGTAGTCCTGTTTTAAGAAATAAACACTTTTGTATCTCACTGCACCAAGAATTCTACTATGTACTTAGTAGGACTTCACTACAGTTTTAATGATTGGTAAGTACCATTTCACTAGGTTCTGACTGATCTCTTTTTAAATGTTTAGTGGACTGCTTAAAATCGCCCCCTACTTCTCTGCTTTACTTGGCAACTTTGTGTGTTGGTTACTGTCTTTAGAGACAATGGGATAAAAATCTTTAAAATTTCTTTTACACTTTATCCATTGTGGATCTAGTTCAGTCTGTTTCTCTGTCAGATCAGGGGAGGCAAACCATAGTGTGATATTATGGCATTTAAACGTATTCAGTTTTTTTATGATTGCATTAAAACTTTTCTGTCTTGTATTTTTTAGGAAATATTCTGCCATACGTACGGATGGCTCTTTCCATTATGTTCACAGTACTCCCTTTGGAAACTATTCTTTCATCTCTTTGGATGCCACCCTAAACCCAGGGCCTAAGAGGCCCTATAATTTCTTTGGAATTTTAGATGAGGTACAGTAAAAATCTCACTTCTCTTTGTAGCTAACCTACTTTTCTCAGATATATGTGGCTCACTTAAAATTATCCTAGGGAAACAAGTCCTTATCTCAAAATGCTTGAGAAAAACGTTGCCTGTGATTACAGGTATAGCCAGAAGAAATTACTGGCTACTTCAGCACTGTTATAAGTACCTCACATTTTATACTTATATTTATTCAGTAAACATTTATTAAATATGTACTAAGTGTAAGATGCACTTAGCAAGGTACAGGGCATACAGCTATGTATACTATATGGTATATTCCTAAATCCCTGCAGTTGCCATTTTTAACTGAAGGTCTCTCTCTCTCTCTCTCTCTCTCTCACTCTCACTCTCACTCTCTATCTCTTTCTCTCAATATATATATATTGAAATAAATAAGTTCCTTTTAAACAATTTTTTGTAAGCTAGGTGAAAACTCTTTGTAAGCTGGATTAAAACTGGAAAGTCACATCTGAGAACCTCTCATTATTCCTTGGTACAACAAATAACAACTCATTAAATGTTTAGTGAGCACATGCTCATATGCAATACGTATGTGTCCATGTTTAAGAATACAAAGGTGATATGGTCAAGTCCCTGGCCTCTTAAGATATTTAATCTAGTGGTGGGGCATAAGACCAGTGCAGAAATAACTCATAAAAGGCTGAATTTGCTAAGTGCTGCAAGAGATTCAAAGTGATATGAGGGTGTAGAGGGGCTGGAAATCAAGTGAACAGAATATTGTCTGATGCATTGTGTTATATTAGGCATTTTGTTTAATGTAGGTGTATTTTGTTTCCTGCCTACCAAATGTCTTTAGACCAAGTTGATTAAAGTGTTATTTTTAAATGTATTCCTCAGAATAATGTTTTTTAAGGTATGATTCAAGGATCATCTGCATAAAAATCGGCTGGAATCTTATAAAATGAATATTCCCGGCTTTACTTGCAATGTATCAAATTAGAAACATTTAGGCCGAAACCGGTTTGGCTCAGTGGATAGAGCGTCGGCCTGCGGACTGAAAGGTCCCAGGTTCGATTCCGGTCAAGGGCATGTACCTGGGTTGCGGGCACATCCCCAGTGGGAGATGTGCAGGAGGCGGCTGATCGATGTTTCTCTCTCATCGATGTTTCTAACTCTCTATCTCTCTCCCTTCCTCTCTGTAAAAAATCAATAAAATATATTTTAAAAAAAAAGAAACATTTAGGGTGGGGCCCAGGAATTTATTGCCAATAGCACTTTACAGATAATATTAATGTATATTTACATATGTGCAAGTCATTTTTGAAATCAACTTCTTGAGGGATGATTTACATATAATAAAATACACTCATTTCAACTGGTTGAAGAGTTTAAAAATATATGTATATATATTTTTTATTGATTTCATAAAGGGAAAGGGAGAGAGAGAGAAACATCAATGATGAGAGAATTATTAATTGGCTGCCTCCTGCATGCCCCCTTCTGGGGACTGAGCCCAAAACCTGGGCATCTGCCCTGACTGAGAATCAAACTGTGAGCTCCTAGTTCATAGGTTGACTTTCAGTCACTGAGCCACGCTGGCCAGATTGTTTGCAGAGTTTTGATAAATGTCTATACTGGTGTATAACTCTCACCACAACTAAGAACCCCAGAAAGTTCTCTTGTAAAGTCAGTCTCCACCCCCAGTCCCAGGGGACAATTGTTCGGGGTTTTCTGTCAGCATAGATTACTTTTGTTTGTTCTAGAGTTTTATATAAATGAGATCATACAGAATGTACTCTTGTATTTGGCTTCTTTTGCTCAGTATAATGTTTCTGAGATTTATCCATATTATTGTCTGTATCAGTTCTTTCTGTTTAAAAAATACATTTTTATTGATTTTTTTTTCTAATCGTCACTTGAGGATATTCTTCCATTGATATTCTTCCATAGAGAGAGTGGAAGGGAGGGGGAGAGACAGAGAGAGAGAAAAACATCGATGTGAGAGAGACACATCAATTGGTTGCCTCCTGCACATCTCCCAACCGGGGATTGAGCCTGCAACTGAGGTACATGCCCTTGACTGGTGATTGAACCGGGACCCTTCAGTCCTTGGGCCAATGCTCTATCCACTGAGCAAAACTAGGGCTTTATTGATTGATTGAGAGAGAGAGAAAGAGAGAGAGAAACATCAATCGGCTGCCTCCTGCACACTCCATACCAGGGATTGAGCCCAAAACCTGGGCAAATGCCCTGACTGGGAATCAAACTAGCAACCTCTCGGTGCACTGAAGATGCTCAACAAACTGAGCCACACCGGCCAGGGCAGTTCTTCTTCTTCTTTTTTTTAATCCTCACCCGATTTTCCATTGATTTTTAGGGAGAGTAGAAGAGAGAGGGAAAGGCAGAGAGAAACATCAATATTAGAGAAACACATTGATTGGTTGCCTCCTGAACCCCTACCAGAGGCCAGGCCGGGGAGGAGCCTGCAGCCAAAGTATGTGCCCTTGACCGGAATTGAACCTGGGACCCTTTGGTCCACAGGCCGACGCTCTATCCACTGAGCAAAACTGGCCAGGGCCAGTTCTTTATTTTTTATTTGCCAAGTAGTATTCTGTTGTATGGCTATATGCAATTTGTTGATGGTTTCTAATTTTTGGCTACTATGACTAGAGCTGTTAGAAACATTCAGGTACAAGGCTTTCTATGAACATAATGTGCATTTTGTTTTAGTATCAGTATCCTCTTTATTAATTGCAGTGTGGTATACAGGGCTGAAAAGGTTAGTGTTTCTTTATTTTTATAAAGAAATTTATAAATTTTAAAAATTATGTAAGGTTATGATGATTATTTTTGTTCCCTCATCTATTAAATGGGGGTAATATCTGCCCTGTTTATATTATACTAGAGGCCCAGTGCACAAGATTTGTGCACTTGGGGAGGGGGTTCCCTCAGCCCAGCCTGCACCCTCTCGCAGTCCAGGAGCCCTTGGGGGATGTCCAACTGATGGGGAGTGGGCCTAAGCCAGCAGTCGGACATCCTTAGTGCTGCTACGGAGACGGAAGAGGCTCCTGCCACCACCACTGCACATGGCAGGACTTCTGGCTGAGCGGTGCTCCCCCTGTGGGAATGCACTGACCACCAGGGGGCAGCTCCTGTGTGAGTGTCTGCCCCCTGGTGGTCAGTGTGCATCATAGTGACCAGTCATTCGCCGTTCAGTCGATTTGCACATTAGCCTTTTATTATATAGGATGTGAAAATAGTTAGGAACTTACAAACGTCCATACAGGTCATTAATTAGCAGGGTGTCAGCCCGAAACATAATACACTTATTATTATAATACAAGAGGCCCGGTGCATGAAATTCGTGCACTGGAGGGGGGGGGTCACCTCAGCCTGGCGTGCACCCTCTCACAGTCTGGGAGCCTTCGGGGGATGTCTGACTGATGGCTTAGGGGGAGCGAGCCTAAGCCAGCAGTTGGACATCCTTAGCGCTGCTGCACTTGCCAGCCTTGAGCCTGGCTTCTGACTGAGCGGCGCTCCCCCTTTGGGAGCGCACTGACCACCAGGGGGCAGCTCCTGCATTGAGCGTCTGCCCCTTGGTGGTCAGTGCGTGTCATTAGCGACCAGTGGTTCCGCCATTAGGTCAATTTGCATAATAGCCTTTTATTATATAGGATTTGAAGGGTGTTGTTTAATCTATTGACATTAGATTTCAGCCTGAGCCTAATTAAAAGATTCTTCTATTTTTCTTCCTTTTTAGAAACAGATGGAGGAGCTTTTATTATTGTCAAAGGAAAGTAATCAGAGCAACCACACTATTTGGTTTGGACACTATACAACATTTACTATTCTTTCTCCATCACCAGGAGTTCGGTCAATAATGAGGTGAGGCAGGCTTCTAAAATTAAAATTAATTGTTTTTAGTTATTTTATATTGCTCTACCTATCTTGCTTTTCTGAAGAAATATTTGTATGAGTTTGGCACACAGGTTATTTTTATTCATTATTCCATTTATTTTTCATTGGTTAGTTCAGCTACAGCTTATTTGTGTGGGCACCTCCATACACTTGGTGGACTGATGCCTGTTTTGCACACTCGTCACTACCAGGGCACTTTGGAGCTTGAGGTGGGAGACTGGAAGAACAACAGAAGGTAAGGGGTAGTTACCCCACAGAATAAAACTTATACATGTTAACACATTATGGACCAGTAGTTTTATTGCTAGCTTTACCCAGTGGCCAGATAAGTTTCTATTGAACTAGTACAAAAAACGTTTTACATAAATGTTAAAGGCATGCTTTAAAATTAAATACCCATTGCATTTTGAAGTTATTTATTACATGTTCTTACAAGCTAATATCATTTTAAAGTATGATATTTTGTAAAACACTGTAATATGAAGCGAGAATTCTCGTGATTCATCCACAATGTGTTAAGTTTGCTAAAGCAATAATAGCTTTCTTATTGCTATCGTGGGTAATCCCAATTAAGGAAAAACTTGTGATACTTCTGTTTTTGAAGTAATTTGTGTACCTGGCAATTTTTGTTGTGCAAAAACTTTTTACAACAGTTATGTTAGCTATCACTATGTTATGTTGGATTTTCAAGACACATCCTTTAGGAAATAGTTCTCAAACTCTAGTATGCATAAGAATTCTGGAGGATCTTATTAAAAACTAGAGGTCCGATGCATGAAATTCATGCATGGGGGTGGGGGGGTCTCTCAGCCTGGCCTGTATCCTCTCCAATCCAGGACCCCTCGGGGATGTCCGACTGCTGGTCGGATATCCCTCTCGCAATCTGGGACCACTGGCTCCTAACTGCTCACCTGCCTGCCTGCTTGATTGCCCCTAACCAGTCTGCCTGCCTGCCTGATCGCCCCTAACTGCTCCCCTGCCAGCCTGATCACCCCTAACTGCCTCTGCCTCGACCTCCGCCACCGTGGCTTTGTCCGGAAGGACAACCAGAAGATGTCCAGTTGACCTGGTTTAATTAGCATATTACCCTTTTATTAGTATAGATTAGTCAGCTCAGACAGCCAAAACAAAATATCATAAATTTGTGTGGCTTAAACAACAGAAATGTATTTTTCTCACAGTTCTGGAGGCTGGAATTTGGGGTCAGGGTACCAGCATAGCATCGTCCCATACACCAGAAAGTGGAGGATCCATTGCCAGTCAGGGCACATGCCCAGTCCAGTGAGTGCAGGAAACAATGGAACAATGTTTCTCTCTCCCTTCTCTCTGAGATCAATTAAAATGAATGATAAATAATGTTCTCTAAGTATGGTTTTAACAGGAAAGACATTAGTGATCTATGAAGTGAAAAACTTGTTATAACACATATAGAGTATGACCCCATTTTAAAAAAGTTGATTTCAGAGGAAGGGAGAAGGAGAGATAGATAGAAACATCAATGATGAGAATCATTGATCAGCTGCCTCCTGCACACCCCTACTGAGGATCAAGCCCGAAATTTGATCAGGAATCATATCGTGACCTCCTGGTTCATAGATCAATGCTCAACCACTGAGCCCCACCAGCCGGGCCCCATTTTTATCAATACCAGGCACATGAAGTACGTGGGCAAAATCTCACTCCTAGACAAAAGTCTGAAATTGCCCAAACTCCTCTGCAGCTAGGTTTCTGGATATGAATTCGTTTCTGCCGATTGGATGCGCTTGCACAATATTTTGAAGGCAGAAGTGGGGCAGAGGCATCTTCCTGCAGTTTGGGCTGTTTGCTGCTGGTGATGATGTTTGCAGAGATGTGGAGGTTTTCTGAAGCGGAATCCAGGCTGTGCATAGGCAGTGGTGGCAGAGGCAGTGCCCAGTGACCTGTTTTGTGGGAGCTGGAGGGCCCTTGTGGAGACAGCAGTTTCCTGATCCCCGGGTCACAGCTGTGCCAGAGTGTCCTAGAATTCAGTTGTGACTGAGGGGTAGCTCCTCCCACTGGGCAGGGAGTCTTTCCTGGGGGCCCAGCCTAATACCCACTCCTCCAGCTTTCCGATGATTTCCCAAGCACCAATTCCCTGTGCTAAATTCTTTCCTGCCTAAAATAGCAAAGATCTAAAAACATCTTGGATCCTCTCCTTTCAACAAAAACAATGCTACACAGGGTCAGGTCTGAGAAGTGGGTGAGGTGTTGCGGAAGGCTCCCTTCTTTGAGTCTCAGCTTCCTCTTCTGTAGAACCAAGACCAAAGATGATCTGTTCATAGTTACTGAAGACCATGGCAGCTGTTTCCTGAAGATGGCCACAACATTTCCCATCCCTCCTGTTGCCTTGCCACTTTCCACCACATCCTCTCTCTTGAAGTGGGGCTGACCTCTGAATTCCAAGGCCAAGACCAAAAAGGCGTGGGGCTGCAGTCCCGCCCACCCTGCCAGGGTTTCCAGCTCCGGCCCCGCCCATGCCACTCGGGGCTCTGTCTGGCAAGGGGCCTTGCCCTCCTGGCTCACTTCCCCTCCTGTCTGCCACCCAGCGCCTCGCTGCACATCATGGCCCACCTGCTGGTGCTGCTGGGCCCAGCGGGTGGGGTAAGAGCCCACGTCGGGCCTCGCACCTCCTGGCTCCTATGTGCCGCTGCCACTGTTCCGACCGAGCCAGACACCCAGGTGCTGTGCGCAGCCCGCGGGGACTGCTATGGTCACCAGGAAAGCCTCCCCACCCCATCCCTGATTCTAGCGCCCTGATCCCGGGTCCACTTTTGCCAAAGGAGAGCTTTACCTGTGCAGCTGCCCGAGAGTGAGACCGAGCAACTCCAAGGTCTCCAGACCCCAAATTTCTGCCAGTCAAGGCGGTTGGCCGGCTGGCCCCACCCTGATCGGCTGGCCCCACCCTGATTGGGATGTTGGGGGCGATCCAGCCCAGATCAGGCTGATTCGCTGGCCACAGTGGGTGTCATAGCGACTGGTCATTAGGTCGTTATGGTTGTGACGGTGTTACAGTCTCTGGCTTTTTATATATATAGATAAAACTTTCTAGGCTCTACCTCTAGAGATTTTGATTATGTTGGTCTGGGTTAGGACCCAAGAAAATGCATATTTTAAAAACATACCAGGGCACTAGCTGGTTTGACTCAGTGGATAGAGCGTTGGCCTGCGGACTGAAGGGTCCTGGGTTCGATTCTAGTCAAGGGCACATGCCTGGGTTGCGGGCTCGATCCCCAGATGTTTCTATCTTTCTCTCCCTCTCCCTTACTCTCTGAAATCAATAAAAATATATAAAAGTAAATAAATAAATTTACTGTTGAGCAAAAATATGTTACTTAAAAAGGAATAAATAAATAAATGAATGAATGAATGAATGAATGAATGCATACCAGGCACTCTATGGACTAAACTTTGAGAAACACTAGGACCAGCCCTGGTGGGGTAGTTCAATTGGTTAGAGCATCATCCTGATATGCCAAGGTTGTGGATTCGATCTCCAATCAGGGTACACACAAGAAGCAACCAATGAATGCATAAAATCAAAATTTTAAAAGAGAGAAAGAAAAACACTATGACTAGAAATATGTCATTTTCTCTTTTGAATTTTATTTAATTTTTTTTAATATATGTATTTTTTATTGATTTCAGAGTAAAGAAAAGGGAGAGGGAGATAGAACATCAAAGATGAGAGAGAATCATTGATTGGCTGCCTCCTGCATGCCCCACACTGAGGATGGAGCCACAACCCAGGCATGTGCCCTGACCGGGAATCGATCCGTGACCTCCTGGTTCATAAATGATAACCACTGAACCATGCTGGCTGGGCTTTAATTTAATTATTAATTTTTATTTTTAATTGACTTTTAGAGAGAGAGGAAAGGTGAGAGAGAAAGAGAAACACCTACGTGAGAGCAGAACAGATTGGCTGCCTCCTGAAAACCCCCTACCTGGGATTGAGTCCAAAACTCCAGCATGTGTCCTGACCAGGAATCGAATAGGTAACCTTTCAGTGCATGGGATAATGCCCAACCAACTGAGCCACACTGGCCAGGGCTCCCCTGAATTTTATATCTACATTTCTAGTTATTGCTATAAGATGTTAGTGATTTAAGTTCTTCAAATAGATGATAATTGGTTTTGTTAAGGTTAATGTCTTCCTAAGAAGAAACATAACTTATCAAAAGCATACAGTATAATTAAACATAGAAAGAGAACTAAATATATTATAACTTTGATAATAGCATTTAAGTGCACTAGTTTAAGTATAGATGAGTATCACTTCATTGTTTAACTATTATCAATTGCTGTTTATTAAGACTCAGTGCTCTGAAGATATTAGATATCCAATAAATATTTGCTGAGCTGAGTATGTTTTCTTTCCATTTTTAACTATCTCCATTAATTAAAAAGCAGCTTTACATTGTAGGTGGTACTTACTCATTTTAGTTGGTTTTGTAGAATCTGGGTAAGAGCTACGCTTGAAGCCTGTCATTAGTTGGCTACTGGCTACTGTAATTACTTTGAGCCTTATAAAACCTGTCTTTTCATGACTGAAAGGCTGTGGGCTGGGCTGGAATTGCCTTGTTCCTAATCCTTGATCGGCCTCTTTATTTAAGTGATATTAATTATGAAACTTTTTTCTCTCTTCTCACCTGTTCTCCTGTGTTCTAACCCTGGGGTTTTATTTGGAGTTTTACTGAAAGTATCTAACTTTTACCTGCCCTTACTAAACATTTAAGTTGTACTAGTAAAATAGTTTTAAAAAATAGTATACTAGTAATATTAAGCCAGGCTTTGTTGTAGATGCAAATAAACGTGTGGCTTAACACAACAGATGTCTATTTTTTCATTTATGTAAAGCTGGTATGAGTCAGGCCAACTCTCTTCTAGAGGGTGACAGGGATTCAGACTTCCTCCATCTTAAAAGGCCACTATTTCAACACCTCAGTTCCAGTACTTTGGACCAGAAGTGTGATATGTGTCACTTCTGTTCACAGCCCATTGGTCAGAACTAGTCACATTGTCCCAACCTAATACCAGGGACTCTGGGAAATGCAGGGGAGCACAGGGAGTATTTGGTGAACACTCTTGTTTCTGCCATGGTTAATTATTTCTCAGTTCTAAAAGTTAGAAAATGCAAAACTGGTTATTCCTTTGTGTTGTTGTTGTTAATCCTCACCCGAGGATATTTTTTCATTGATTTTTAGAGAGAGTGGAAGGAAGGGAGAGAGACTAAGAGAGAGAAACATCAATGTGAGAGAGACACATCATTTGCTTGCCCCCTGCACTTACCCCAACCAGGGGCCGGGGATTGGGCCTGCAGCCAAGGTACATGCCCTTGACCAGAATTGAACTCAGGACCCTTTGGTCCATGGGCAGATGCTCTATCCACTGAAACAAACCAGCTAGGGCAAAACAGGTTATTCTATAACTTTCATTGTGCAGTTAGAAAATCAAGACAACTTAACTTTTGTTAATTTCTTTGAAATTATAGAAATAAAGATTTAACAGACAAGTGAAAGGTTTCTAATTGTGTTTATTTTAATATTTTATGTAGCATTGTTGATGGTGTGAAGAATGTCAGATATTAGGCTTAAGATGAATGTCTCAGGTTCAAAATGAATTAATTCAACAAGCATTTATTTAAAAGTTAAAGAGTGTATGCTATGTACTAGACATTTATCAAGGCACAGTTAAATTCATGGCTTCAGTCAGATCCCAGTTGTTGTGACAAATGTGAAGTATAAAGTGATAGGGGCCAGAGAAGAAGACAGAAAAACAATATTATTGACTCTGCATTCAAATTCATGATCTCAAAAAGTATGCTTTTATATTTTTACATTTGTTCTGTATATAACCTTCATGCCTCTTAAAATGTGAAGTGACTAATTGCCTTATCGTTCTCTGGTCTCTAGGTACCGCATCTTTGCTTTTGATCATGACCTCTTTAGCTTTTCAGATTTGATCTTTGGCGAGTGGCCTGTGATACTTATCACCAATCCTAAATCGCTCCTCTATAGTTCTAAACATGAACCACTAGAAAGACTCCTTCACTCAACACACATCAGGTATGTAGAAAATTTTCAGAATTTACTTTCAGTTTGATACTGGTGGAGAATAAATCATTGTGACTGCATTCCCATGAAACAGCTATGAGATGTCCCACTTTAGTTGTCTCAACAATCTAAACATTATGTAAAGACTAGAGGCCCGATGCACGAAGATTCATGCAAGAATAGGCCTTCCTTCCCCTGGCTGCTGGCACCGCCTTTGCTCCAGTTGGAGTCGCCTTTCCGCCTTCACTCCGGCCCAGAGCCGCCTTTCCGCCTCTCGCCTTGTCCCGTCAATGTGCATATTCCCTCCTTATTGGCTATGGGTGCTGCCACCTTTGTCACGAAGTTATGGTCAATTTGCATATTCTGTCTTTATTAGATAGGACCAGAGGCCCGGTGCATGGGTGGGGTCACTAGGCCTGGCTGGTGATCAGGACCGATTAGGGCCTACGGGCCGGGGGAAGGGACAGGGCACAGGGGGTTGGCCACTGGCCCCGAGGAGGGAGCCGGCTCTCAGCCCCTGTGAGAAAGGGGCCACGTCCACTGCCACCCACCCCCGGCTCCCTGTCCCAGCCCGGGCCCCGGGGAGAAGGCAATGGGTCGCTGGGCAGGGTGTGGAAGGAACGGATGCTGGCGCCCCACCACCGCATGGTTCCCCGCCTCCCCAACTCCTCTTTCCTTCGCCACCTCACCACCACCACAGGAGGTGTGTGGTGGGCCAATCGGGGCCTGCCAGCTGGGGGGAGGCACGGGGCGTGGGAGCTTGGCCGCCGGCCCCAAGGAGGGAGCAGGCCCTCGGCCCCTCTGGGAAAGGGACTGCGTCCACCACCACCCACCCCCGGTTCCCTGTCCCAGCCTGGGGCCCAAAGGCCCCAGTGGGGTTGGGAGAGGAGGCGACGGTCACCAGGCCAGGCATAAGGAACGGACACCGGACGCCAATGCTGCCCTGGCTGCAGGAGGTTGGCTGTGGGAGCGCACTGACCACCAGGGGGCAGCTCCTGTGTTGAGCATCTGCCCCCTGGTGGTCAGTGCACGTCATAGGGACTGGTCGACTGGTCATTCCAGTCGTAATGGTTGCTTAGGCTTTTATATATATACTAGAGGCCTGGTGCACAAAATTCGTGCACTCGAAGGGGTCCCCCAGCCTGGCCTGTGCCCTGTCACAGTGCGGAAGCCCCACGATCAGTCACCCCAAAGAGGTAGGCCCCACCCACCCATCTGGGGCTCCTTGATGGATTGCCCCAAAGAGGTAGGCCGGAGCCAGGGGTCCTGCCTCCGTGCCGTGCGGAGCCAGGAGGCAGGACCCTCAGGCAGGCCTCACCGTGTAGAGCCGGGAGGAGGTGGGACTCCCAGGCAGGCTTCGTGCTGCACACGCAGCGTCAAGCCCAGCCCCGCCTGCCTGCGCATGTCCACTGTGCATGGAGCCATCTTGTGACAGCATGAGGGCATCACGGTGTGACGACTACTTAGGCTTTTATTAGTAAGGATACTAGAGGCCCGGTGCACGAAAATTCATGCACTGGAGGGGAGGGGTCCCTCAGCCTGGCCTGCCCCCTCTCACAGTCCGGGAGCCCTCAGGGGATGTCCTACTGACAGCTTAGGCCCGCTTCCCCCGGGCGGGGGGCCTGAGCCACAGTTTGGCCTCCCTCTGCTGGAAGTGACCAGGCTGATCAGGGGAAGGCGCTGCCCCCATCACCCTGCTGCTGCTGCCACTGTGGCGGCTGTGAGGCCTGAGCCCCAAGCCTTGCAACTGCCAGGGCTCATGGCTGCCTGAGTCCACAGCCATGGCTGCCATGAGCCCCAGGCCTTGCAGCCACTGTGGCTTTGTCCGGATGAACGTCTGGATGGACATCCGGAAGACATCCGCCCTAATTAGCATATTACCCTTTTATTAGTATAGATAGACAAATTGGTTACTGTTTCATTCCAATTCAGTTAAAAATATATATTTAGCCCTGGCCGGTGTGGCTCAGTTGGTTGTAGTGTCATCCCGTATACCAAAAGGTTGCAAGTTCTATTTTTGTTCAGGGCACATGCCCAGGTTGCAAGTTAGATCCCCAGTCTGGGTGTGTTTGGGAGGCAACCTATCGATGTTTTTTTCTCTCTCTCTCTCCCTCCCTTCCTCTTTCTAAAAATCAATCTCTCTCTCCCCCCTCCCCCCGAGGGCATCAACTCAGGATGTCACAGTCAGGGGAACAGACCCAGACAGAGTTTAGACCTGCCCAGGTCACATAAAGCTTCCAGTTCAGCACCCTCTCCACTCTTCCTCAAGTTCACAACCATTGACTGAACACTTTCTATCAAGTTCCTAGAAGGTGTTAATCCCTCACCAACTGTGGTTTTAAGAGGGTTCCCTTTTAGATGTACGCCTTTACACAGCTTTCTTGAAGAGGCACTTACATGCCATATAACTCACCCACAGCAGGCATACTGTTTGATGCATGAATTTCCACAGCAGCTCAACCACCGACACAAACCGTTTTCAAGCTTCCATCACGCTGTTTGCCCATATGCAGTCAACCCCACCCAGCCCCAGGCAACCACAGGTCTGCTTTCAGTCTCTGTAATTTTGTCTTTTCTAGAAATCTCCACATTCTTAAAAAAAAAAAAAAAAAAAAAAAAAAAAAAA